GACTGACTGTCCAGGGGCAGTGGGCCTTGAGTTAGCGGACAGGGCAGCTTTCATCCCTAAAGCCAACAGCCTGAAACCAGACTCTTTATTGAGGTTAATTGTTACTTTGCAGTATTTTGTCTGCTCATGGCAGTGACGCCAGGTTGCTGATTTGGTTGTCCCGGAGATCAGATTCAGGTTTAGAGTTTGGCAGAGAAACTAGACCTAGCTTTCATGTCTTTTCATTGGCGATGAGGAATTGGGCTGAGCCAGGGTGTTGACGCAGTACAGTATGCTAAACATTCTGAGTGAACGCAAAAAACCAGCACGCCTTAAGCTATAGTGTTGCACACTCATTAAATACCCCAAATTTGTTGGATACTTTCTGCTTCCAAAGCTTGGCTTCTGATTGTCACCTTTTTGTTTTCTAGAAGTTAATCTTACCATTCTTTCCTGTCTCTTCGCCTTTAGTTATCCTTAAGGAAACCAATGGGAAAGAGAACTTAGAAAAGAACATCCTTAGACTGCGGAAGGATCAGAAAGGTTGGTTGGGCTATTGCTCACGTGACTAAAAGAGTATTTTAGATTAGAAGCCTGTTTCCTGTACTGAAACTAGAAGGACTAGAATCATCCTTCTATTCACTCTTCATCACTGGCCTCCCACCCTGCCCAGCGCAACTGCTGCTATCAGTAAGGGTGCCAGTGGTGACGTAGACAGGCTGGTCTGTGGCCACACGGCTGCCATGCAATGTTCCTTTTCACCCCGATAGCATTTTCCAGCCAGGTGTGTCAAAGCATCACAATGCCCCTAGGAGGCAGCTACGTTCTATTAGCCCTATTTTGCAGATGGGGAAATGACGGCACACAGGAGAATAAGTAACTTGCCCAAGTTGGGTCTGGAGCAGAGCAGGAATTTAGAACCCGGAGATTTGCATCCCTGTCACCATCTCTGTTCACAAGGCCACTTCCATACGTTATGATTAGTTGTTCTCAATCAGTCCAGTGAGGGACTCTCTATACAATTACTATTGGCCCCCAAGCTTGTCACTCAGTCTTGCATGGAAGCTCGCCTGACCTGGCGGGTATGAAAACAGATCCCTCCTGAACTGGCATCTCTTGTGGGGTGATGTTGCCCTTGAGCTTGCGTGTGTGAACCGCACACTCCTGAATTTCTGGCTTTTCTCTGTAGAGTCAGTGTTGAAGTTTTTGGTGACATGGAACACAAACTCTCGAAACTGCCATGAGGCTCAGGCTGTCCTTGAAACCCTCCTAAAGCACGAAGCGCCAGAGTGTCTCCTGCAGTATGAAGGGATTAAAACTGCTGTGGAATCCCTTCTGCCTTACACCGGTGAGTTAGAAAAGAGACCGTATCTCAGCTCCGTTCAAACGTTGGCACAGTTGTCTCGCTCAGTGGCTCTCACTGCGCCTGATCTCAGCCATGCCTTAGGTCCCGGTCTCCGAGCTGTGCCTCGGACACAGCTTGTAGACAACAATACACTATAGTGTTGCCAGCTGTATTGTCCTTCCATCCTCATACCAGTGCTATGTGGAATGAATAATTGCTTCCTGGCGTCTTATTATCAGCACTGAAAAATAATTGTTCAAAGTCTATGAAGATGATACACACTCAGCATCCTCTCCTTCCCCCGTTAGCCTGGGTCAGGGCAGAGAAGAGAATTCTCTCTGATTTTCCTTGAACTTAGCCATAATTTTTCTTTCCTCTTTACAGAGCGCCATTTCCAGAGACTCGGCCGCTTATTGCAAGCCTCTATGTTCATCGATTTCATGTGGCAAAATATGAGACTAGCAGATGTGTCAAAATGGGAAGAGGACATGAGTCTGTGACCTTTTATATGCTGTTTGCAGTATACTGAGGGGAATGACTGGCGAGCCAAGGACACGCACACTGACTGCAGTGCCGC